TCTTAACTTTGATAAAGAATATCTCTTTGGTTTTGAGACTTTAGTCTTTGCAACTTCAGGGATCTTATCTATTCATGAACAGCTTGTAACACTCCAAAGAGAAAGGAAAACTTGAAATCGCATCATATGACCCCTTTAAAGAAACCCTACTGTCAGGATCATGGACTGTCTGTGTCATGTTTTGGCCCTGTTTCTGTTCCCTTATTTGGTCATGTTCCTGTCCTCGTTTTGTTAATTAGTTTGATTATGATCCCATGCACCTGTGTTTCCCCAATCATCCCTGTATTTTAGTCCTCTGTGCAGTTTGTGTCTGTCGCAGTGTTGCCAATTTAGCTACTTTGTAGCTAGATTTAACGACTTCCCCGCCCCTTTTGAGACTTTTTTCAAAAGTTTAGGGACAAATATAGCAACTTCTTGGACAAACCTTATCTAAGTTCTCATCTTGCCCACTGATCTACGTTCATCTTTATATAGATCAGTGAATTTGCCATTGTGATGTCATCTAGTGACATTTAGCTACCAGTTTTAGCTACTTTCAATTGAAAGCAGTTGGCAACACTGGTCTGTCGGGTCTACTTGTTCATGTCAACCATTGCTACGTGTGTTTTGCTGTTTCCTTGGATGTTTTTTTTAAAGATTAATGTTCGTGTTAACTCCAGCGTCTCCTCGTTCCTCGTTTCCTCCCAGAGAGAAATTGTGACACCTACTTTTATTCAGCATGCCACGGAAATTAAATTTATAAAAAGTAAACATGTTGAGATGTTACAAAAATATATCTGTTTCTAAAACATTCTGTTCTTTTAAACTTTCTATCCATCAAAGAATCCCGAAAGAAACGGTTTATACAAAAATATTCAACAGCACATTTGTTTACAACATTGATAATGTTGTAATCACTGTTGAAAATTCAGCTTTGCCATCACAGGAATAAATTACATTTTAAAATATATTATATAAGCTATATAATATATGCAGCCTTGGTGAACATAAGAGACTTATTTCAAAAACATAATAAAAAATAAATAAAATCACGCCTCTAAACTTTTTAACTTTGTATGCATTTCTTAAATGTTATTTTGATAACCTTAGGCGCAAACGTTAGGTCATGACATAAATTCAAGCAAGGATCAGCTTGAAATAACTTCGTTATTGCCTGATGATACAATGATGACCGTAAGCTTATAGAACAAGAGGGTAATAATTAGTTGCACATGATTTCAGCAGTCAGATAAAGCATGACATTAGCCAGGTCAAAACTGTCTGTGAATCAAAAATCAGTCAGGACAGAAAATCAGTGTCCTTATCAAAAGACCGCATCCCTGTGCAATACCTGTATTTGGAGCTTTCGCAAAAACTTGTGACATACTAGCAGAGATGACTCATCCACAGACCACCTCTGCCTTTCCAAAATCATCGACGGCACATGGAATGCATGGCACATGCATTGTTGTATTGCATGTATGTCTCAGACTCAGCTTTTGTGCTACTGGTTTTATAGCATCCTCATTTATACCCCACTTTATATTATAGAATAGTATATAAGACAGATGGGTTCTCTTTCTTCCTTAATAAAACACCATAAAATAACCTCCCCTGTGAGAAACGTGATCAATGAGCAAATGAAACAGAGCCATGTGTTCTGACAAACTGATCTTTTAATATGTACATTGAGCACATAAATAACATATATAAGTTCTGCAGTCACGTCTAAATGAAGAACTGCACAAAAAGTCCATTTCAGCATATGCTAAGATTTAAATAAAAGATAAATACACTTGAGTATTACCGTAGTATTAAAATACACTTGTCTTGAGCAATGAATGAACTCTTTTGTTTGCTGCATTATTACATGTACCCCATTTGGGTTTTCCATAATCATGATTTTTCTCAAGTGCTTCATAATATTATCCAGGCCTTGTTGAAGTGTTGTATGTGTGTACATTCTTTTATTTTTATTATATTACTATATGAACGTTGATTACTTTCTACTATATTTTATACCAGACAGCAGTACTTTTTGTAAGGATCTTCTGTCATTTTGATGAAAATATGTGACAAGTAAGACTATTTATGTCCCTGTCATGTTTTATTCTTCCTATAGCCTACATCATTTAACAAAAACAAAATAATTATTAAAATGTTAATGTGGTCTAAGGTCTGCTTTCTTAAGATAAGGAGCACACTTAATCAACAACATCCTTTATGTGTGTTTGTGTGTGTGTACGGGTCAGGTCAGGTCAGGTTGTCTCCTCAGCACTCTTTCCATAAAACCCTCACTATCCTAAGCAGATCTTCCTGCAGTCTGAACTGAAACACAATAACACCAGCACGATGACCTCACATTAGCCCTATACCACATCCGCCAGACCGCTCTGATCATGTAGTGGCTCCTCTCTGAGTGATTACTAATTACAGTTCAGACTGAGAGGGTGGCTGCTGGTGGAGGAAAAATCTATCTATCTATCTATCTATCTATCTATCTATCTATCTGGGATGGAACAATACAGTTAGCCCACAGTTCAATACATACCTCAGTTTTTTAACCATGGTTTTCAGTTCAGTTCTGATGGCAATTGGCACATCAGAGTGTTTTTCGCAACAAATTAACAACAAAAAACTCCTGTAAACTTCTGTACACTGGAGAAAGGTGTTGATTATTATATGTCTACTTAAAATCTCGTTTGAGAGAGTTTTTTTTTTTTTTTCTATTTTAACCCCAAATAAGATGGATTGGAAAATTATTTAGGGAAATAAACACATGTAATGTGTTTCATTCATACTGGTAGCCAGAGGGCGCCCTCGCACAGATAATCCACATATGCATCTCAGAAGTAATAGAACTGATGACATTCCAGGAAATCACTAATATGGACAAAGGCATGGCTATCGCTGTAACTGAATAAAAAGAAGATCGAAATGTTTTGAATGATGAAACATAAGGACAATAAACAGTCGCCTGCAACAATATATGGTTTATCTGTGTTCTTCAAGCCATCTTGGGTATTTTCATAATGATTATATATTATATAATTATTATAAGTAGTCTATATTTGTAAGTCTAGCCTTTATTACATCTCACCGAACAGACTCATGGGCACACAAACAGAGCCAATTCTGAGAGAAATAAAACACGCAGAAATTATTTAAACACAAAACCGAAACACAAAACCTTCTGGCATCCTTTGCTGCTCTTTAAAAAAGTATGACCATCAAATTCTAAACAAAAGAAAGTTGAGGGAGGGAGGTGAATAGATTCCTCGTCTTCTTTTCATCTTTACAAGCACTCCCATTTCTGTCAGCCTGCATCAGAGACATTCGTTGCTTGCTCTTTATATGCCTTAACAAAGAGAGACAGAGGAAAGAATGGCTGCAACTTAAAGTGACAGCAACATTAAAGGATGGCCTTCATCTGGCATCTTGCAGGGAAAGTGACATTTAGAGGTGCACCCTGAGAACTGTCTGTTTACCGCACTGGACTGTGGGATGCATGAAGAGTCGCCACGTTGATGGCACTTGTGGGGAATGTAAACTTCAACAGGTGAAATGCAACCTGGGCACATTTTGTCAGATGACTGACATGTTGGAGAGGAGCTTGTGCTGCTTTTATTTGAATGAGAGACAGGTGAGAGCTTTCACATATTAATATGGATGCAATGAATTCTTCAAACTGCATTAAAGCTGAGGCACAAACCTATGCCTGTTCTGTGAAGATACATTGCTCGCAAATAAAATACTATTTTTGAGAAGCTATCAATAGAGCAAATAATAAAACTGCATTACATTTAAGAGGTAATTTGGAAGAGCACTGCAATTTTAGATGTCTATAATGCCATCTAATTTTATGCAGGAGTCTCGAATGTTCCAGTGCAAAATAGTCCACAATTCCATGCCATTACCTTCTCCTGCAATGAAAGGACATTTTCACTGTTTTGACACGTCACTCAGGTGACAGGGTACTTGCCCAGTATTTTTGGAGTAGGCCTACACTTGCTTTTCAGAGCTGGCTGGAACAATTTTTCAGAAGTCTTCTCTCTACACCATTGATTTTCCAGCGTGACAGGTGTTCACTCTTGTGTGCCATTCAGAACTGATTCAAGAATGCCTTTTGAATTCCAATTTAATTACTAACTTTGAACTGAGGTAGCAAATACAATGCATAATTGCAGTTTAATTTAAATGTAATGAAGTAGAATTAAAAGGAATTGAAATTCAATTTAATCTGCGATACCAAACAGGAACACAGGGGGATGCCAAAAGACCACTAAATGAGCTACCTTGACCTGACTGATCCAGATTTACTAAACCACACAGACTACTGCGTAATCTAAAACACCTTCAGCCAGCATCCAGTATGAAACACTTGTGCTTTTAAGCCTAATAGCTTGCTGATTTTTTATTTTTTACTGACAACTGTACGTGAGTACTATTATCTCTGCCATCTCTGATGATATCGGCCATGTTTTCTCTGCATTAGCGCTGTTTTGAACATACTGTTTGAATGCATTTGCTTACTGGATCCTTAGACTTTCCAGGAGTTTGCCACTTGATCTGATCGCAAAAAAAAAAAACTGATTCTTTTTATTTTCATAATGTATTGTTGACGCTTGCGAAACAGATAGGCCCTACATTTAGACTACAGGGCTTTTCACACTGAAAGCGAAAATTCGGCGCGAATGTTCGGCGCGATGACGCTTTTGAATCGAAACAATAGATCCCTATGGGGCTATTCACACCAGGCGCATCATTCGCAGTGCGAAAAAGCGAGGATTTTTTTTTCGTCCTGTGTGTCGATTTTTACCCCGTCGCTCCACGATGAAACGGGCCGTCCAATCAAATTTGAGCTTAGATCACATGCCCAGAGCAGCTGCTGGGTGAGAGTAATGGCGCTGTTTCGATAACCAGTGTAAACAAACAACGAAGAGTATCCCGGTAGAGAGAGTGGATGCTGAGTTCCTGGTATCTTTGGTATCTGAGAACAGATTTATTCTCACATGTTCTTAATATAATTTCTAAATCCTCCATTGAATTATGTGATCTGGAGTGTCAAACCCCGTTTTCTTCCACGTGCGCGAGTGTTATCAGAGCGCGTTAACTCTCTAGATCAGGGGTGCCCAAACTCGGTACTGGAGGAGAAACTTCCAGGCAGGTGTGTTGAGGCAAACTGGAGCTAAACTCTGCAGGACACCGGCCCTCCAGGACCGAGTTTGGGCACCCCTGCTCTAGATCGTCCGTGTTTAAAAAAACGAGTGAAACATTTTTCTACACATGAAATATGAAAGCAAATAGACACATGATTATGACGATATATTTTCTGTATGTGTTTTGTATGCAGCTCATGGTAATTTTATAACAAAGGATGTTTATGACAATAAGTGGCGTTATTAAACATAGCCTACAAATAGTGCATGTCTGTATTATATAGTTGATTTTGATTCTATAATAGGCAGACATGCACTCTTTGTAGATCACAATCGGAAGTTATTACAAGCACTCGATGATGGTTTATAGTGGGTTTTAAGCAAAAACATGAATAATCACATAAATGTTCAAATGTGGCTTGATGCTCATTGTACTTATATTTATATTTTAAGATTATATAGTTGATTTTGATTCTATAATAGGCAGACATGCACTCTTTGTAGATCACAATCGGAAGTTATTACAAGCACTCGATGATGGTTTATAGTGGGTTTTAAGCAAAAACATGAATAATCACATAAATGTTCAAATGTGGCTTGATGCTAATTGTACTTATATTTATATTTTAAGATGTTTTATTGCAAGCATTATAGATAGTTTGTGTTTCTGGCATAGAACCAAACTTTATTTAGCTATATTTAATGCTGTATATTGAACAGTGGACGATGTTAAATCCATATATGAGATACATATCTTGAGTAAAAATACATTGCTGGTCGGCACCACCTAGCGTGCAGGCGTGAATTAGCAGGCGGCGATCAATCGTTTCGCAACGTTCGTCGGCGATTCGCATCGCGCTCGGTGTGAAACGGCCTTAATACTGTTATGCTATGTAAATACTTATTTACATTAGTTGGCATATGCACTAATGTATGTTTCTGCCAGTGGATGCCCACACTCCAGGTTGCGTTTATTAAACTCGAGACAGGAGAGAAGATCATTTTTGAGCGCACGCATATAGGCTAATGCCTGATCGATAGAAAGCGTGTCCGTTTTCTGTGAGAGTGAATGAACGGGAATCCACCTGTGCAAGCAGAGATATTTGCGCTCGCGCATTTGATGCGCTCTCGCATAGGCAATATGCGCTCTGGACATTTGTCATTAAATTAACTCAATAGAAACCGCCTCAAACGAACTTTTAAAACGAGAAGAAAGTCGTGTTTGAAAGCTGCAATCGATTTTTTAATCCGTTAAATGAATGGAGAATATTGTGTTTTTCCATTTCCGTCGGTGGGGCTCTAGCACTGAGGTCCGCACTTATTCCTTTGAGCCGTCCACGCAGTCATCATGAACGGAAAAACCCCAGACCCCTAATCCTAACCCTTGCGTACCATATGCACACCAAAGTCAATTTATGCGTATAAATAGAACGCCAAATAGAAACAGAAACTTGTGGTATTAATACGCACTTTCATAATTTACGGTATAAAGCTGCATAGATTTTTATTTTAAGACAATCATATGCTCTCGCGGGCCACATAAAATGATGTGGCGGGCAGAATAGGCCTGCGGGCCTTGAGTTTGACACGTGCCCTAACCCAACCCTAACCTAAACCTAAACCTAAACCTAAACCTATCCCTTACAGAAAACTATATATATTACCTTTTAGAGGTAACATTCAGTATTTTAAAAAGGTATAGGTTTAAAACCTGGTAGAAGAGGGCAGCTGTAGAGAAGGCAGAGCCCTAAATAAGCCACTCCCCCAGCTACACTGTGATTGGTTGACCTTATCCAATGAGTGGTAAACAAATAAAAGCGTCACATTGGGAGATTAGATAAATAAGTGAGTGAGGAGCAGAAAGTGGACTAGGGTTTATTTCAATTTGGCCAGATCACTAGAGCGTTGCAGGGTCTCAATCCCTAATGACCAGAGGGGGGTGGGAGTGTAGAGATTGTATGGACTCTGTTTGGAGGAGGGGAGAATACAGACAAATGGATCTGAGATAAAGGATTAAACAGAGTCCTTAAAACAGTCTCAATCGCCACATTGTGGATCAATGGATGACACATTTGTATTCAAACATTCATAGTATGTAATATATATTTTAATCTTCACGCTGTCATGCCATCTTGGTCTTCTTGGAAATGTAGTTCTGATAATAAAAGTTACTAAACAAAGCGATCAGGCTGAAGGCATAGCCGAGCACTATAATATTCATGGAGTCAGGAAAGTCACAGTCAGCATAGAGGTTAACTGCAGTGTGAATGGTCACAATGAAGAACTGGAGCTGAGGGGGACAAAGAAAGACAGTGATACAAAAGTGACCGAGCATTTATGTTAAATTATTATTCATTATAATCATATTGAAAGTCTCACCAGCTGAAGCGAAGTGAGGTAGTCTTTCCACCACAAGTACTTGTGCATTTGGGGGCCCAATGCTGCCAGGCCATAGTACATATACATTACCACATGAACAAAAGAGTTTATGAGGCCAATAAGGAACGCTGAGGGAAAGAGAACATCTTTAGGAAATCATTCTCTGCCTTGACACTTCAGAACATATGGCACTCTGAATAAAATATTTTATCAGTTGCCTAACATAAAGACAATACCACATGCCTTTCACAATACTTTCATTGTCTATTTCTGAAGCAATACATCATCTAGTGGTGTCAGAGTGCTACTGCATCTGCATCAACCCCCAAAATGGAGAATCACATTTAGGAGCTGAAAAAATTCTTAGTTAATTACAGTACATTAATACAGTGGGGTCCAAAATATTTTATTACAAATTATACTGCAATTATAACACAATTTGAGTGAAAATTAACATGAAAGTCTCCAGCGTGATTTGACATGATCTAATTGGCATCTTATGCTTCAATAGAAACTTTTGTGCTAGTTTACAGTTTGTCTGAATTGCTAAAACACTAAACCCCAATCTCTGAACCAAATTCTCACTAGCTTAAACCAATTTGTCGAATAAAGCACTCTTTCTGCTAAACCTTACACGTTCATGCACTCTTTTTGCAAAACTCTAAACACATTCTCATTCACTTAAACACTTATCACACTGTGATGCATTTGTGCTGCAAAATGCTAAACACAAGCGGTAAACGTTAAACACAACTAAAGCACAGTTGTCCTCGTTTACACACGATTCAAAATTGTTCACACTTGTTTCTAATGATGTGATCAAACCAACTGTACAAAATATGAGGCAGTTCAGAGTGCACAAGTGGCACAGGTGACTGAATGATGATACGAACAATAGATGGAAACAATCTGAGAAGGAGAGGAGGAAGAGTACATGTAAGAAGTGGAGGATGAGGAGAAAGAGGATGCGGAGAGAAAGAGTAAGGCTTAGAGAGTGTTATCAATCCTGGATCTGTGAGACCAGAGGGTTTTTTTTTCTTTGTCTAGCAAAAAAAACATTACTTGTGATGTGGACAAAGTCCTGAGGCTGGACTCAAGCACAAAGACATGATGCTGAGACAGAATGAATCTCTCATTGACCCTGATTTTACAATTGCACAACTTACAGTATTTAAGTGTACTGTAACATGCTATTTAGAGTTTTATTTGACCATTTTGGCCTTTGCAGTTGAACTGCAGTATTTTTGCAGTATCCAACTACTGAATATATACAAACATTCAGTACTATTAAATATTCAGCACAATACTGTTCTTCAGTATGCCTATACAATATATTCACCTTACTCAGTTGCAATTACTATACTTTTGCAAGTGAAATGGTTTTGCAGTTATTGTTTGATTTTGATGGAAGAGTCAGAGGTTTCGTGAATTTAGTTTGAGTATTTGGATTTGTGTTTAAGGTTTTGAGAAAATGAGTGATCAAGAAATGTGTTTTAGCAATTCAGAAAAACCGTAATACCAGATTTAAATTATATTTTAAATGTTGTCTCAGACTTCTGGACCTTCAATAGTTCAACCTAATAGTTTATGTTACACAATGATTAGGAATAGTTCATCCAAAAATCCAAGATGTAGATCAGTTGAACAGATTGGGAGAAAGTGAATGGGTGCCGTCAGATTGAGAGTCCAAACAGCTGATAAAAACATCACATTAATCCACAAGTAATCCACACGACTCCAGTCCATTAACATCTTGTGAAGTAAAAAAATGTGTTTGTAATAAATTCATTATTAAGATGTTTTTAACTTCACATCGTTGTTTCCGGCTAAAATAGGAGCGTTCTATCCAAAATACTTCTTTTTCCAGTGAAAGTAATTTTGTCTGAATCAGGAGAGAAATATGCACAGATTAAGCACTGTTTACAAGGGAAAACAGTCCAAAACAGTTTTTGATGTGATAGGACAAAAATTATGACGGATTAATAATGAATTTGTCAATTACAAACATGTAGCTTTTCACTTTACATGACATTTGGACTCTGATGGCATTCACTGCAGAGGATCCATTGATGAGCAAATAATGTGATGCTACATTTCTCAAAATCTGTTCTGATTGGGAACACCTCAAATATATCTTGAATGGCCTGAGGGTGAGTACATTTTTAGCAAATTATACTTTTTGTGTGAACTATTTCTTTAAACTTCACCTCTATTCAAAAACTTGACACAACCTTTGCGTTAAATATGTCTCTTGATTGATAGTATAACATTGTAACATTGTGCTAAGTGGACTGTTGCATGTAAATAAAATAATCTGTCTTACTCCAAGGTAAGAACACTTACACTGCCCTCCCGCAACATACTTGACCCCTGCCCACCAGTTGAAAATCATGGCGCCATGATGATACACATGCAAAAAGGTCAGTTGATTGTTCTTCTTCCTCAGAATGAAGAACACCTGATGATAATGCCATTTACTTATTTATGTAATAAAACATCATAAGACATTCATAAACAATGCTATCTGATATCAAAGGACTAGATTCACTTACTGTATCAGTAAGTTCAATGACTTTAGAGAAGTAAAACCACCAGCACACTTTGGCCATCTGCATGGCATTAAAATCGCACAAAATCAATAAAAGCAATCATTATAATTCTTCATCTACTGTTGCATAAATATTAACTTCTTGGGGGAAAAATACAAATAATTTATATAAAAATAATGTGCTTACCCTCATTGCCAAGGGGGTTTCAGAGTAGTCAACAAGCTGACACACCAAACTGTAATTTGCCAACCAAAAAGATGCTGTGAACTAAAAGCAAAACATGAATGAATGAATGAATGGAAATCAAGTATTTAATATTTTTGTTCTCATACCTCATAAAACATATAAGCAGAAAGGCACACCATGGAAAAATTGTAAATAATAAGGAGAGCTTTGATGTTGACTGGTTCTCTGTAAGACATCAGTTTGGGACCAAGCCAGACAATGACAAGGTAAAACAGGAAGATCCCACCGACAGGCAGCGGAGAATAAACCAAAAGCCATCCATCTGTCCTCTTGTCTGTGGGAATGAAACGATTGCTTCATTAGCTCGTTAAATTGCCTGATATAGTGGTTAAAGTAGTTTATAAAAGTATTTTCATACTGCTTTCGTCAGGACCTAGTCAAATGCAGCCTATTTGTATCGGTGAAAATAAGTAAAAAAGAATAAGCTGTTGTAGTTTATTATGTCATATAAAAATTATAAAGAGCAGGTTTAAAGTAGAACATCAGACATGTACTTGCTGGAAAAATACCTCCGTTTTCTAGGCCCCATTGATGAAATATCTGAAACCTTTGCCATGTCGACGAGGACACAGACACCTGAGCGATTAATAATGAAAGAGACCCGGTGTTTGTTAATGTATGGACATATTGTAAAAAGAAAATAAGAAACAAGCAAACAAATAAACTAAAACAAGCCCTAACGTAGCCTATTTTAATCAGTCTATCAATATTTGAGAAACTGTTGGCTATTTTAAGCGTAACTGCCTTACCATTGCGCTTGATGTTCATTCAGTAATGCCCAAACAGCGCCATCCATCGGTTGCATTTGAGAACAGCGAGAGAGTTCGCTGAAACGGGTGTAACTAAAGGAGTAACTGGGTAAAAATGTAAATTATGATCGCTATTTTAGTTCCACGAGAGGGAAAATATGATGTTATCAACGGAATTACGACACAACGCTCTCGTTCAGCATAAATCAGTGGCTCAATGAGGAGTTAAGGAGTTTAGGCTGTGGCATCCTCTTCAAAACGGATTAGGCCTACCAAAATCCCCTGGATAACTTTATTCTTTACCATCAGCTATTTTGAGCGTTACACCGTATTAGCCATTTAACAGTTGCTTTTTAAGGACACTATCAATTAAGCCTAATTAATAGGCTACGCAATTAATACTGTTTTTAGGCCTAGTTTTATAACGTAACCTCCAAATGACTTCTCAAACGTAGAAATAATTTTACTAATAGGCAGAATTTTTTTTTAAAGCTTTACTCTCAATTTAATGCACCAACTACAGGCTGTATTGTCTTCTCTGAAAAGTGATGCTTTGTTAAATTTCTTAAATACATTATATGAGTTGACTGTGGGTTTTGTGGAACATGTAGCTGGTTTGTTACTTGTCCAAGATGGTCTACCTGCCCTGACCAGCATGATCAAGGTCTACCAGGTCAGTCCCAGCCCCATCTTCTAAAATAGATCATCTTGGACCAACCTGAATGACCATAAATGCAACCATGAACCCAGTAGCTACTAACAAATAATTTCCAAATTCAACGTCCCAGTATCAGCTAAAGGTTTTGACAGGAAAAATGACACATGGTAGATGCTGTATATTAAATGCTGATGTAGATTTATTTTTATACAGCTCCTTGCATACCACTTTGGGTCATAAACATATTTCCTTAACACATCATATAATCACATAAATACAAGGCAGTTAACAAATAATACAAATAGCAAACTCTTTCGTTCAGCACTCTTAGATATTCCCTAAAAGGAAGGAGGGAAACAGAAGTCTTGTGTAAATGACTCTTCTGCTCAACATCCGTATGCAGACCCCTAACTCAGGTTTAAAGTGCACACTTCATTAAGAGCAATGAGAACCAACTGAATTCCCCCTTAAAGGTAAATATAAGGTCTGACACAAGAGCAGCTCCATATAGATAAAAAAAGAGTAAATTCTTAAACCAAAATACAACAATTATCGAAAAAAAAAAACTAACTTTTGTGATGACTATGTTCTTGATGCGAATGCTGGATTGGTTCCTTTGGTACGTTGGTCACATCTGAATCACCTGTGCTGTTATTTTTATTTTGATGATGATGATGCACATGTTGGTGATGATGATGATGCACATGTTGATGGTGATGATGCTCAACAGTTACAGGCTCTGTATTGTTAGTCTTCTGGTTGTTCACTTCTGTTGGCTCATTTGCATCGTTTTTGTTGTTTTCGAAGCCTTCTGATATGGAGGAGTTTGCATGTAACTGGAAGAGAGTTTCAATAAATGAACATTTTTTGCAAACATTTCATAAATGCAGCACTTTCTGAAACTTGAATATTTTCACTCACTGAGCAGTTGCATATATTTTTGTGGTATGTAGCCCTGATGGCAGCTTCTATATAAGGGTAGTGAAGAAAGCTGAAGGGCAGGACAATGTGGAAGGTGAGATGTCCACATCTGTGCAGAAAGGAAATACAAAAGAATGACCATGATATTGAACACAGAAAACAATGCTTGAGAAAAAGATCCCAGATGTTCATTTTTTTTCTGGATAACCTTCATATGAGTACAAAAGAGTCATGTGACTCTAAAGAGAAACTAGTCAGACTGGTCATATTACTGGATGGATTTAGAAGTGTGTTTAGCCCATACCTGTCATAAACTAAAAAATCATCTTTGTCTCCCCCCAAGATGTCCCAGATGTCGTTTTGCACTGGGCTCTGCTGATAAACAGGGATGCCCTCTGCCGTCCTCCTCTTCAGCTCCCAGTACATGGCCCTGGACTGTGCATCCTGCTCATTGACAACCAGGAATGATATGTTTGTCAGCTTGCCAAGGGCCAGCTTGTCACGCAGGTCTCCCAACCTTCCGAAACAAAAGGAAGAGAACACAAGCAGATTTAACTGACTGAGCCGTTTACCAAGATCATTAGTACACAGCAGCACAAACCCTGAAATTATACTAGAAATAAAAACAGTCACTTTAAATAAGGAGGGTCATTATACAAATTGGCTGTCATTTCTGTCCCTCACATACATAGTATTTTTATTATATATTCTAATTAATTTGATCATGTTTATATACTTTAATTTGTATGATTACTAAATACTAAAAATTGTATATAAATAAATGCAAATAAAGGCTATTATTTTGTCTGTCTTCTTTAAATACATAAAAAGTTCATTATTTTTAACTATCCCATTAATAAAAAAAAAAATAAAAAAAATGTCAATGGCCTTATCATCCTTTTTAGAATGAAACATAAGTAAAAGTCACCATTTTCGGTACTGTGTGCTATTGTTACTTTTGTCAGTTGGCAAAAATCTTAAAATGTTAAACCTGTTACAATTTTGTATAGTAGGCAATTTTAAATGTTATGTATAGTAGTAAACAAATTTAAAGGAATAGTTCACCCAAAAATGAACATTTTGTCATCATTTACTCACCCTCATGTTGTTCCAAACCTATGTATGTTTCTTTCTTATGTTGAACACAAAAGAAGATATTTTGAAGAACCAAACAGTTGTTGATCGCCATTGACTTCCATAGTAGGAAGTCTGTTTGATTACCAGCATTCTTCAAAATACCTTCAACATAAGAACGACACTCATACAGGTTTGGAACGACATGAGGGTGAGTAAATGATGACAAAATTGTCATTTTATGGGTGAACTCTCCCATTAAAAAGTGTAGAAATATCAGTATTGTCTCTTTCTAACAGCTCTTTATAATTACAGTTTCTTTTCTTGTTTGTTAAATATTGACTGTAAAAATGTCTAACTAGGAAAGGCATCACTTTAAAGAATAAGCCAGTAAATTACACAGCACAAGATCTCTCACCTGGCAGCCTGCGTGAGACAGAACTGTCAGCTCGCTTTAAGAAGAGCCACAACAACTACATTTCCTAGAAGGTCCATCATCGGAATCTCGCCATCGATCTCCCACTTCGGAGCAGGCTTACAGATTCTGGAGCCAGTGCTTTCCTTCTCCAAAAACAGCGGTGAAGCGCAATGCAGAGCTGCAAAAGCAGACAACCACAGAGCCCAGAGAGCCTGCATCATGCCTGCTGAACTTCACCCTCCGCAATAGCTGCAAACAAAAACCACCAGCTCATCAAACTAAAATACTACACAATCAATTACTTTGATGTTTCGTTAGTTAGTTTTACATTCATTTTATCCCATACACGCATAAACAAAAAGGCAAAACTGGCATGATTTGCACAAACCTCAAGCTCTGTCCCTTGGCCTCCTCTGGGTCAAAAATAAAGAAGTTGTCTGGTCCACACTTTTAAAGGTCTCAATCTGGACAAACCTCCCCCTAAACAAACAGAACAAACCAGTAAAAGATGGGATCGGGGACTGGTGTACTACAAAGTGAGTGATCCAAGATAAATATGAATACAAGACAAACACACTGACTGATAACAAACTGAACAAGATTTTAGGGAGGGTTTTTTTTTTTGTTGAAACAAATTTTGTCATACCTTGCCATGGGGTAATAATATTTTACATCAGCTCACTAAATATACAAATGATTAAAGCTTCTGTATGCCCTTTTACATAAAAAGACTTAAGAGAGGTATAAAGCATGCAAGTAACCATGCAACAAACATTCTTGGATTAGATATGTTTTGAATCTACATTTAAAGTGTCAAAATGCTGTTTTAACACTACTGCAATGCTTTGATTGAGCTTCTGGATATTCTGGATATGGAGTTGACATTTGGAAAAAGATTTAAACATAAATTGATCTGCAAATACTGAAGTGACTTTAAAATCTTGGGGCCGGTTCATGCACATTTTATTTGATTTTCTTTCTCCCTGGCAGTTTTTGTTACTGTTTGCTTGAGCTAATCATTCAGTGATCACATCATGGAAAAACAAGTGCATCTGTAAATTTACTTTCCTATTGAAATGATGCAATGGATCCCTCAGTGACCAGTGTTTTCCAATTACTATATAGGTTTGTTGAAAAGTAATTCATCATAGATATTAAAATCTATGTGACTGTACTTGTCAGCTCATTCCTTTCCCTCAACAACCACAGGAACTTTCACAGGACCAGGGGTCTCAGATGTGCACCACATGCTAAAATAAATGAGAAAATAAAGTAGATTTAAACTATTTTTCTTTTGTCTGGCCTTGCTGTAAATACACCAAAGTTAACAATCTGAGATTTACTCTCAACGAAACATTCTTGAAAGATCTTACACCATCCCATGGGCAGAGGAATTGATTTTAGTTTTGCAAACAACAGTGTTTTATCCTTGAAATGATTGGGCCAAAGTACACACTTTAATCCATGGAGTAACAACCTTCAGTACACTCCAAAAGAACACCAACACAAAAGTTAACTGTTCCCCCAGTACTAAACATCCAGTGTTTTTTCTTTTAATTAAACTTTTCTCATTTAATTAAACTGGTTTAACCCTACATGTTCCTCAAATATCCCTATTAATGTGTTTTTTGAACATTTACGTAAATAACTTTTTTTTTTACCATCAAAAATGTTAAAGCCAACAAAAACTGTTGGTTCCCAACATTGTTTTGTGTTCCACAGAAGAGAGTCAATCCTACAGGTTTTGAACAACATGTGGTTGAGTAAAAAAAAAAGTTTATTTTTGGGTGAACTATGCCTTTAAGACAAACAGTTGACAAGGGATCCATCAAAGAGCTGTTGAAATAAAACTGTACAGACAGGGGTGGCAAACATGAAGACAAAAAAACATAACATAAAACCAGAAACTCTGGTTTGCAGAAAGACAGAAGTTTATCATTCAGAACAGTTCCCTTCAGTTTGGCAACTGCATGAATCATTTGTGTGGTGGCTCTATAATTATGTGCTATCTTTTTGGCTACTAACCTCGTGCACCAGATTTACACCACTTTAAAACCGCAGCACTACCAATATACCACTTTAAAATAGTGACATTTACCAAGTCTCGTTTGTCAACTTCCTCTCACAGAAACAAGCAAAAACTTTCTAATATCGTTGTCTCAGTAGCAAAAGTCAAGTTTAGAGTGATAACATTTGGTTTTCAGGGTACATTCTTATGATTCTGCGAACAGCTGAAATTATTCCACCGACAGTTTACCTCAATTTTCTTAAAATAGGTAACAGGTGCAATACTTGCATCAAGGGATTCCAACTACACAGCCAGATGCAGCAAGACCAAAATATTTATTTTTGTTAAAGCTGCAGTCTGTAAGTTTTGCCTCTTTGTCGCCATCTCTGTTTGAAAACCTGGAATTGCAGCTGTGTGCAGAATTATCTTCCTTGCATGGGTTGTACTCTGGCATGGCTCCAGCGAGGATGAATCTAATGTTTTGAGGAGTAGGCTATGTGTGGCAGTCAGTCACCGCACCGGTGTGAATCCTATACTTAGTAATCACAGATTCTAGCCTTCGTCTTGGAATACATGACCAAATAAGAATTTTCACCGTATATTGTCATCTGAACAAGTAACAAGTCTGCCACGTTTGTTCTGACCAACTGAGGAAAAAAGCATTACAATAAATCGCGCTACCAATGGTGATTTAATCTAACGATCGATTAGCTCATATCACATCAAACCGTGCAAATTATTATTATTGTTATACTTTATTCTCAGAGCATTAATCAGCATTGCGTGACTATGAGTATAGTGTGTGTGTAGATTTCAATTTCTGTACAGTCTAATCTCTAATTGTCATTCCATTCGAATTTCATACCAAGAAATTCTTTTAACCCAAAAATCAAACTATGCTCCCTTCGAACTGGTTGTCTTTAAAATACAAATCGTGTGTAATCCCAGGCTATCTGTAATCAGAAGCACATTTAAAACGGGAATATAATTTAATTTCATTCACATGCGTTTCATATAATCCTTTCTGGATTACAATCCACCATCAAAATGATTTTTTTGACATTTAATTATTCTGACTGCTGTGAGAAAAGGCTATTCAACTTCTTGGGACAACTTCTTTATGTTTACAGATGTGACGTAATGACGCAGCAGCATGCTAGAATTTCCCGCGAAAACCTACCCGTACCACTCAAATGAGAAAACATTATTATAAGCTAACCGTTGTGAATCGGGCTAGAGTAAGGCGATAGTTTTGAACACTGGCTGGTTATGTACTTGCTCAAATATTGATTTTGGATCATTTTTAACCAAAATAAGTTACGGACCGCAGCTTTAAAGAAAACACATAATAGTGAATAGGGTTGCAAAGGGGTGGACAATTTCTGGTAAGTTTCCGGAAACTTTCCAAAAATCCCTGGAATATCCCAAACAATCCTGGAAAGTTTCCAAAATTTCTGGAATATTTCAGAAATTTACTGGAAATTTTCAACCTTTTTGCAACCCTAATAGTGAATCATCTCCAGACTGTTGTGGTATTTATGCAAATGGTTTCAAAATGCAACAACAACAACCCAAAATAACTTTACCCAGCAAACAAACATCCTCTGCGAGTCCTGCCGCAGCTTTGCCTTTGGCTGATTTAACAGTCAAGCATCAGTGCAGTTTCTTACAAACACAGTGTCTCAGGTCATGACTCCAATCAGTCGTTCCTCACTCGTCACGTTGCCCTCTGGACTGTCACAAGCTGTTATGATGCCTAGGCTGAGCTCCGCCAGTTCGTCCTGCATACTAGTGGTCACCATCATTTTGGGCTCCAGCCGATTGCAAAGCGTCCTGTAAGAAGGTAAAGGGTAGCCCAGTTCCCTTAGGTACTCGTATCCTTTAACCCCCACTGCGCAGCGGATTTTACGGGCTGTCAGTAAAGTATCATGGGACCACACTGCCCTCCGAGAACGCTTGGCCAACGTTAGGGCGCGTATCTGATCCTCAAACAGGAACAGCTGTAGCCCCTTCTCGATTTTACTCAGTTTGTAAAGACGTTTCTTCATCTCCTCTGCCTGTGTAACAAAGAAATGATAAAATGTGCTTTCAATCGCTAATATGTACAATCGATTATGATTTATTAGAATGAATGTTACCTCTCTCTGTAGTCTGACTTTGTGTTGCTGTTGTTGCTCCAGTTTGGTTTTATAATGTTGGCAGAGAGAACAGGGTCGCTCCTCGTCTGTCCTCTGAACCCCATCCTCCTCTGAATCCACAGGTGGCTGTCGGCGGGCATATCCATGGTCCCCCATGTTTAAGTCCTTTTCCACTACATTAACAATATAATATGTTCATTTGCAGCACACAAAGTGACCTTAAAGGGACTGTTCATCTCCAAAATTTTCACCATTGTTCTTAATGACAATGATTTGTATAGAAAATAACTGTTTAATGCTTGAATGCGTAACTAACATGGATGGATGTCTAAAAGGTGATTTACACTTATTGAGATATTGGATATTTAATACTGTTGGACAGAAAAAAAATATACTTACACTATTACACATCTCTGGTCACTAGCGACCCTATGAACTTTTTACCAAAAAATTAAACAGAAAATAGACATTCTTTTACAAATTAGTTTTTTTTCCTTGTCATTTTATTGATAATGAATACTTTGAGGAATACTAAGAAGGTGGAGGTCTAACATTAAAAAGGAATGAGGGAGAGGCCAGTGGATGACGTCCTGGTTCACTAAAGACCTGATGTATTCATTTAAGGGTTTAACTTTCATAGAAAACCTAGCAAATGGTTTGGAATGGCATGAGGATCACAAATAATAATTATTTTTTTTCTTTTCTTTTTTTTACTCACAGATGCCTTCATATAAGTAAGTTTCCAAACATACACAAATAAATACACTAGCACATAGTGCTTTTTCAGTGAATTGGCTCAAATATGTGACCCTGGACCACAAAACCAGTCATAAATCAAACAGGTATATTTGTAGCAATAGCCAACAATACACTGTATGGGTCAAAATTACCGATTTTTCTTTTATGTTTGCGATTATGGTAAGGGGCGTTACATTTCCGACGAGTGCTAGCGGTGTTCAGCCAATCACAATGCACTGGGTCAGCTGGCCAATCAGAGCAGACTGCACTTGTCGGAAGGAGGGACTTTGTAGAAAACGAAGCGTTTGAGAGAGGCGGGGCATAGAGGACCTACAATAATGTACAGTATTTGAAAAATAATGTGTTTTTTGAACATTAAAGCATGTCAACATTCTGTTACACCAAATACACAAAATAATGATCTTTAAAAAAGCATCATATGACCCCTTTAAGTAAAGATCATGTTCCATTAAGATATTTTGTAAATTTCCTACCGTAAATATATCAAAACTTAATTGTTGATTAGTAATAGGCCATTGCTAAGGACTTAATTTGGACTTAAATTGGATTTTCTCAATATTTTTACTTTTTTGGCACCCTCAGATTCCAGATTTATCTCAGCCAAATATTGTCGTATCTTAACAAACCATGCATCAATGGAAAGCTTGTTTATTTAGCTTTCAGATGAATCTCAATTTCCAAAATTGACCCTTATGACTTGTTTTGTGTTCCAGCGTCACATATACAGAGTAGGGGATTGGGGGGGAAAAACAACATGGGAGGGGAAAAAAACTAAAAGCATTGAAATATAAATGTTCCTCCCTTCTTATATTTTTCCATCATCTTGTCCCCTTGAGGCTCCGTACTAATAACTTTACCTGGCTCATTTTTAATAGGTAACACTACTTGAGGGGTGACAGGAGAGGGAGGGTCGGGTACATTGAACAGTGTGGGGATTGCGTTGGGTTTGAGTTTCCTTCCCCCTGCTGGTGATCTGGCGATCTCCTCAAACTGGCTTTCTTCAAAGTGGTCCTGCAAGTCATGGAAATGAAGCTTTGTGACAAAAGTACACATATACGATTACACCAAAAGGAAGCCAGAAGAATGACTTAATTGTTGTCTTTTGCAGAATTGAATACTCGCATGCTTTTCACTTGCCTGGCACAGTCTGGAGCAGGGAGTCGGTACAAAATCACGCCGACAGTTTACAAGCCACTTTCTCATGCGCACGGGGTCTTTCGGAAAGCGAAATAGCTGCTTTCCAATAGTTGTAGAGTTCGAGCAGTTTGGAGCGGAGCATCCACCCATTTTTATTTACATTCGCCAAATGTTTAACTTATCATCTGGGCACAACGTAGCGGACAGCTAGCAGAGGATTTAGCAGGTGTATTATTAAAAATACTTTACAATTTATAAAAAGATACAGCAGTTATTTTAGCAGACGTACGCAGTGAGTTTACGGGCGGCCCCTTGAATGCATTGAGTATAAAATGCGATTTCTTAAGACGAATATGTTTTACTAGTAAGTGAAATGTAGAGTTTGTTTGAGCCAAAATGGCGTCGGTAACTTCGGTAGGCTACTCGATGACGTGTTATCTGCGAGTTGACTTTAGATATGCCTGCATAAAATTCGTTCACATTTAGCACAAATTGTGACAAACGGATAAATAATAAGTAAAACATTTTTTTTCTGATTTTCATGAACGATGCAAAACAATAGTTTAAATTAGCTTTTACCACACGTTCCTCATTCAAGTCTAGATTCATATCGGATTACATTTCATTTTTCAGCTGGCCTGATTATTAGTATTTTTTTTTGTTCAGTAGTATTTAGTTCAGTAACAACAGTTAAATACAAAACAAAAACTACGTAACAGTCCAGAGAATGTAAGAGAAAGAACAAAACAACAATACAGAATAAAAAAAAAATAAAATAATAATAATAAAAAA